GCCGGGGACGGCTGCGGGCAGTGGGGCCTCCCTGCCTCAGTTTCCCCACCTGGCAGGAGTCCTGGTGCTGTGCTGGGTGCCCCACTTGGGGAGGGGTCTGGGCACAACAGGGCGATCCGGACCCACCAGCACAAGCATGAGGTGCCCGGTCCCACTCCCAGCCCCCCACACCCAGCTTGGGTCTGTCCCGGGGCCACGGAGGGGCTTGGGGTGACCTGCTCTTGTCCCGGCTCCCGAGGGGGTTGGGAGCTGCCAACCCCACAGCGTGCTGCCGAGGTTTGCCTGCCTGTCCCTGCCAGACTGACTGGCCAGGCCGTGGGTTTTGCTCTGCCGGGAGGTGCTGAGATACCCCTGGGAATCAAACAAGCTGTTCGTTAGCCAGCACGCAACATCGCCCGCTGAGCCTGCAGCCCCAGCTGGGACCTTCCCACCCCACAGCCCGTGGCTGGTGTGGAGGCTGGGGTCACCTCCCTCACCCCACTCGGGGTCCAGCTCCTTACCCCAGGAGCTGGGGATTCGGGGTTCTGGCATCGCCCCAGGCACGCTGTCCCAGGGCTGGCACCCCTCCGTGTGGGTCCAGGCACTGTAAATGGGCGGGGAAGGGGCTTTGGTAGAAGAGCCCAGGATCCAGCCCTCGAGCCCTCCATCCCCTCCTCCCTGCAGAAGGGGTTAATCCCAGGAGGGGCCCTGGGCCAAGCCGGTGTCACCTTGACACAGGCTTCACTGCTGGAGACACGCCGGTACCCACGGGTGGGGGGACGCAGGGCAATGGCTCAGGGTGACCCGCAGAGGGTCCCCCAGCTCAAGGAGCGCTGGGAAAAGGTGGTGTCCCCATCCCAGTGTCATCTGAGGGGCTGGGCTGAGACCGAGCAACTCATCTCACCCCCTGGGGCCGGTGCTTCACCAGTGGGGTTTGAAGCGATGTTCAGACCCATCCCCCTGAGCCCCCCCAGCAGCAGCCTCTGAGGACATGTGGGACCCCCAGGTGAGGGGCTGACCCTGCACCCACGTCCCTCACCCAGGTCTGGCTCCAGCGATCCCTACTGCGTGGTCAAGGTGGACAACGAGGTGGTGGCCAGGTATGGGGGACACCGTGCCACCCCGGGGAGGGGACGCACAGGTATGGGTGCTCTCCCTGGGGGTGCAGCCACCTGTCCTGTCACCATCAGGACAGCCACAGTGTGGAAGAGCCTGAGCCCTTTTTGGGGCGAAGAATACACCCTGCGCCTGCCCCGCAGCTTCCACAGCCTCACTGTCTACGTGCTGGATGAAGACACCATCGGGTAGGGGGGACACTAGGGCGCCCCCCGAGGGGTGGCATGTCCCTGTTGGTGGCTTCAGCACCCACCGTGTCTCTGCTTGCACAGGCAGGACGACGTTATTGGCAAGGTCTCACTCAGCCGCCAGCAGATCTTGGCTGAGCCGCGAGGTGAGTGGGGGGCACAGCGGTGGGGGGCAGTGGGGCCCATCCCAGCACCATGGGGTGCTCACCCCGTCCCCCTTGGCAGGTGTCGACAGCTGGCTCAGCCTGGCACCCGTGGACCCCAACGAGGAGGTGCAGGGTGAGATCCACCTGGAACTGCGGGTCGCCAAGCAGGGCCACCCACGGGTGCTGCGCTGCCACCTCATCGAGGCCAGGTAGGGGGGGCTGGCAGGGTGACCACCCCCGGGGTCTTACTGTTGGCTGGGGGCTCTAGGCAGTGGGAGAAGGGGACGTGATGGGATAGTGGGGGCACGAGGCTCGTCCTCCCCCTCCACACTGCGAAGGGCCCTCGCTGTGTCCTGCATGGAGACACTGATGATGCCGACCTGCGTGTCACGATGCTGTGGGGTCTCAGCAGGGAATGAGCTGCCTCAGACACTGCCCAGCCCTGCCCAGGGATGGGCACAGGGTGACAGGGGACAGAGCTGGGGGGCCCAGAGGGCCATGGGGCACGTGGGGATGGTCCCCACCAGGCCAGCTGGCTGCTGCACCAGGTTTCTCCCCTTTAGCTTCAGAATTGGGGGAAACTGAGGCACGGTCCAGGCTGCTGCGTGTTCATGTGCATGTGTGTGCATGTGTGTGTACATGAGTGTGTGCATGTATGTGCGTGTGTGCTCATGTGTGTGTGCGTGTGCGCGCGCGTGTGTGTGCATTTGCGTGTGTCTGTGCATGCATGTGTGCATGTGTTTGTGTGTATGTGCGGGTGCGTGCATGTGTGCATGTGTGTGCGTGCATGTGTATGTGCGCATGTGTGTGTGCCCGTCTGTGTGTGTGCGCGCACATGTGTGTGGGTGCACATGTCTGTGTGTGCATGCGTGAGTGTGTGTGTGTGCATGTGCGCGCGTGTGCGTGTCTGTGAGTGTGCGTGTGTTTGTGCGCGTGTGTGCGTGTGTGTCTGTGTGTGCGTGTGCATGTCTGTGTGTGCTTGCATGTGTGCATGTGTGTGCGTGTGGGTGTGCATGTCTGTGTGCACGCGCGTGTGTGTGTGTGCATGTGCGTGTGCATGTGAGTGTGCGTGCGGGTGTGTGCGTGTGTTTGTGTGTGTGCACGTGTGCGTGTTTGTGCGTGTGTGTGTGTGTGTGTGTGTGTGTGTGTGCCCACACGCGCGGCTGCCAGACGCAGGCTGCTGGCAGCGGAGCAGGCAGCAGAGGCAGCATCCCACTGCCATGGCAACTGAAGCGAGTACCAAGGCAACAGGATGGCCTTGGGGACAGCCAGGAGGGACAGCAGAGCTTCCCCCCGCCCCCCCATTTGTGCTATTTGGCCACCAGGGACCGGAGGAGGAAGGGGTTCAGGGCAGGAGCGTGGGGGAATGGGGACCCCACTCTCACCAGCATCCCCCCGGCACCTGCTGACTGCCCCACGGTGCCTGGTGTGCCCCCGTGAGCTTGGGGAAAGGGGGGACATGGGGGTGCAGGGACCATGCTGACAGGGATGGGCCCCTGCCCGCTGCACCCTCACTGACCCCCACCTCCCCACAGGGACCTGGCCCCCCGGGACCTCTCAGGTACCTCGGACCCCTTCGCCCGGGTGTCGTGCTGCGGGCACACATTGGAGACGGCCGTGAGTCAGGGTACTGGGTGCTGGGACCCAGAGGCTTGGGCATCTTGTGCCCCAAAGCCACTGGTCCCTGTCCCCGGCAGGTGATTAAGAAAACCCGTTTCCCACACTGGGATGAGGTGCTGGAGTTCAAGCTGGCGGAGGGCGAGCTGGGGGGGGCCGTGCTGAGCGTGGAGGTGTGGGACTGGGACATCGTGGGCAAGAACGACTTCCTGGGACGGGTGAGGACCTTGGGGCACACTGGCATCGGGCAGGGTCCCAGGGGCACCTCCACACCCCCAGCCCCTCCCCGTGCTTGAGGTCTGGGTGATCACAGGCTATGGGGGTGGGGGCAGGGGTACGTGCACCCACTGAGCCCAGGGCACTGCTGCATCCAGACCCCCATCGTGTCCTGCGCTCTCCCCTGGGGGGATCCCCACTGTTGGGGAAAGCGGGGTGCAGCACAGGTTACTGGCATGTGCCCCCCCCCCCTCCAACTCAGACCCTTCCCCTGGCCCCCAGGTCGAGTTCCCCCTGGAAACCATCTGCAGGGACCCCACCGAGGGCTGGTTCCAGCTCCTGCCCTTCCCCAGCAGCGCCGAGGACCACGGGTGAGTGCAGGCAGCAGGTCCAGGCAGCTGCCTGCACCCTGCATGAGCAGCTCCGCGGGGTGGCCCCCTCAACCCGGCCGGGAAGGGGCCAGCATGGTGGAGGGTGGGGGGGTGCAGGATCCATGTCGTTTCAGGGGGCAGCTGGGTGCCCTGCGCCTGGCGGTGCGGCTGGTGGAGGACACGGTCCTGCCCGGCCCCTACTACCAGCCCCTCATCCAGCTCCTCACCGAGCCCATCCTCTGCCCTGGCCAGGTGGGTGCTGCGGGACGGGGGGGACGCTCAGGGGTGGCCGAGGACCACCCTGGTGCAGGGGCCTCGCCGTGCCCACCCTGCCCTCCCCACAGCCCCCTGCCGGCACGGCCCTGGCTGTCCTGGAGGAGGTGACCTCAGGGGAGAGCCGGCAGGACGTGGCCACCAAGCTGGTAAAGATCTTCTTGGGGCAGGGGCTGGCTGTGCCCTTCCTGGACTATCTCACCACCCGCGAGCTGGCCAAGACCAGTAAGTGCCAGAGCCAGGGGCACAACCTGCACCCCCCCAGTCAGGAAACTGGGTTGCCAGGGTCCCCCCAGCCCCCTGTGGGGAAAAGAGTGGAGCCACCAAGGGGGAGGCAGGAAAGGTCCCACTTTTCCCCAGGGTTGGGCACACCAGAGACAGCTGGGGTGTTGCCCTGTGCCTGCCTCCCCATAGCCTCTGCTCTCTTCCAGCGGACCCCAACACCCTCTTCCGCTCCAACTCGCTGGCCTCCAAGTCTGTGGAGCAGTTCATGAAGGTGAGCGTGGGAGGGGACACCAGCCAGTCCCCACTGCACCCTCCCATGATGGCATTGGGGCACAGAGCTGGGTTCTGTCCCAGCAGGGCACCTGGGAACAGTTTGGGGACAACGGTGGTGACTTCCCATCTCTTGCAGGTGGTGGGGCTGCCCTACCTACACGAGGTCCTGAAGCCTGTGGTGAACCGCATCTTTGAGGAGAAGAAGTACGTGGAGCTGGACCCTGGCAAGATGGAGCTGAGCCGCAGCAGGCAAGTGCAGGGGGGTGGCTGGGGGGGACATGGTGCATGGCACGTCCCAAGCCATCCCCATCCCTGTGTCCACTGCAAGAAGGGGGTCACCCATTGCTGCTGAGCCTATGGGTCACCTCAGTGGCTTTTGGCCAACTCAGGATGGCCTGTTCCTGGGCACTGGGTGCCCCCTGACCAGGCGGTGTCCTCGCAGGAGGATCTCCTTCAAAGGGTCCCTGTCGGAGGCACGGGTGAGGGAGAGCAGCCTGGAGCTGCTGAAGGGCTACCTGGGAGACATCGTTGATGCCATCGTGGGCTCAGTGGAGAAGTGTCCCCTCGTCATGAGGGTGGCCTTCAAGCAGCTCCGCAGGCGGGTGGAGGAGCGGTTCCCCTCGGCACAGCACGAGGTGGGACACACGGCAGGGCTGGGGGTCCACACATCACTGGGACCATCATCCTGAGTCCTGAGCTGTCCTTGTCCCCGTCCCTGGCCAGGAGGTGCAGTACTTCTCCATCAGCGGGTTTCTCTTCCTCCGCTTCTTCGCCCCCGCTGTACTCACCCCAAAACTCTTCAGCCTCCGGGAGCAGCATGCTGACCCCCGCACTAGCCGCACGCTCCTGCTGCTTGCCAAGGTGCAGGGAGCCCGGGCAGGGATGGGGACCCTGGGGAGGGATGGGGAGCCCAGGGAGAGATGGGGACCTTGGGAAGGGATGGGGACCCTGGGGAGGGTCAGAGGTCTCAATGGGGAGCCCAGGGAGGAATGGGGAGCCCAGAGAGGGACCCCAGAAAGGATAAAGACTGCAAGGAAGGACCCTGTGGAGAGACAGGGACCTGTAAAGGATGGGGGTGCCAGGGAGGGATGGGGACCCCAGAAAGGCAGGGAGACCCTGAGGAGGGGTGGGGACCCAGGGGAAGGAGGGACAGGGAACCTGGGGAGGGACAGTGGCCCCAGGGAATGATGGGGACCCCAAGGAGGGCAGAGCCCTTTCTTGGCTCCTTCCCACGCCACTCGATGCTGGCCCTGCCTGTCACTGGGCCATGCCACCATGTGTCGGGCACAGCGCAGGAGCTGGACTGGGGCAGCCCGACCACCCCCTGGGCTTCTCCACTTTCCTCCCCAATTCCCAAGCCCTCGGGGTTCAGGAGAGCAGCCCCCCTAGACACACACAGCCCCCACGCCACAGTGGGGTACAGCAGCATGAGCCCTTCCCTGTGTGGGGCAGGCACTGCAGAGCATCGGCAACCTGGGGCTGCAGCTGGGACAGGGCAAGGAGCCGTGGATGGCCCCACTGCACGCCGTCCTGCTGCCCAGCGTCACCCGCGTCAAAGCCTTCCTGGACAGCCTGGTCACGGTGGACAGCACTGAGGGTGAGCACCAGGCACTGCGGTGGCACGGGGGGCACCGCTGGTGCTGGGTCCAGCCGTGCCAGCACCCAACACGAAGGGGTATCAGAAATTTTGTATCAGCACTAGCGTGGCCAGCAGGGACAGGGAAGGGATCTGACCCCTGTACTCGACACTGGTGAGGCCACACCTCGATGAATGGTTTCAGTTTTGGGCCCCTCACCCCAAAAAGGCCATTGAATGACTCGAGCGTGTCCAGAGAAGGGCAACGGAGCTGGGGCAGGGTCTGGAGCACAGGTCTGCTGGGGAGCGGCTGAGGGAACTGGGGGGGTTTAGTCTGGAGAAGAGGAGGTTGAAGGGAGACCTGACAGGAGGGTGCAGAGAGCGGGGATGAGTCTCTTGAGCCAAGGACCCAGCACCAGGCCCAGAGGGAATGGCCTCAAGCTGCCCAGGGCAGGATCAGGCTGGCTCTGAGGAAGGATTTCTGTGCAGAAGGGGCTGCTGGGTGTTGGAATGGGCTGCCCAGGGCAGGGGGGGAGTCCCCATCCCTGGAGGGGTTGAAGAGTCGGGCTGACCCAGCGCTGAGGGATCTGGTGGAGTTGGGAACAGTCAGGGTGAGGTTCATGGTTGGACTGCAGGAGCTTCAAGGGCTTTTCTAACCTTGATGATTCTGTGATTCTGTGGGTGGCATCATCCCTGCTGTCCCCCACATCCTGGGAGCATCCCCCAGGAGGGGGGACCCGCTCGGTGCCATGCAAATGCTGCCAGGATGGCCAGGGACGAGCATCATCGGGCTGGGGGAGGCAGTGGCACTTGGGGTGACATTGCTGCCTCCCTGCCTGGCTGTGTCGTGGCCGCAGAGGGCGAGGGGTCGGTGCTGCCAGAGCTTTCCCGCCCCTCGGCCACCATCAAAGAGGGGTACCTGCACACCCGCACGGCAGGGGGGCCCGTGCTGCTGCCCCGCTTTGCCTTCAAGAAGAGGTACTTCTGGCTCAGCACTGAGGCCCTGACCTACTCCAAGTCCCCGGAGTGGCAGGTGGGTGCCACCCGTGATGCCCCCACCCTGTGTGAGGTGCCGGGGGCGGGATGTAGGTGCAGTGAGACATGGCGTTTTGGGGTCCCCAGGCACGCTGCTCCATCCCCGTGCCGCGGATGCGGGCGGTGGAGCGGGTGGACGAGGGCACGTTCCAGCACCCCCACGTCATGCAGATCGTGGCGCAGGATGGCGCCGGGCAGCTCCACACCACCTACATCCAGTGCAAGGTGGGTGCTCCCGCTCTGCCCCAGGCACCCCGGGAACCCCCCACCCCAGCGGCCTGGGAGCTCCCTTCCTGGCACCCAGCCATGGGGCAACCCCGGGTCCTCTGGGGACAATGGGAATGGTCCTGGTCCCAAATACAGCTATATCCAGGCACCGGCAGTACTGGGAGCACAGGCGCTCAGCCCTGGCTGTACTGGGGTCAGTGGGGTGTCTAGGCCCTGACTGTACTGGGAAAATTGGGGTATCCTACTCTGGCTGTACTGGGGTCACTGGGGTCCCAACCCTGGCTGTACTGGGATCAGTGGGGTATCCAGCTATATCTTCACTGGGGTCACTGAGGTACTAGCTTTGGGGTACTGGGATCACTGGGGTCCCAGCCCTATTTGCACTGGGGTCACTGGGGTACCCTGGCTTCTGTGGCACCATCTCCCCACCAGGTCCTACCTGAGCAGCTTTGCCATCCAACTGTCACTCCTGGTCACCTGGATGGTGCCTACCACCATCCCTGGTGCCCTGGGGACGCCACTGGCATCACCTGTGCCCACCTCCTCCCTCCTCCTCTTCCTCCTCTTCCTCCCCGCTGGCAGTGCCCAGCGCAGGGTGCCCGTGGGTGCCTGGCGGGGTGCCACCCTCCCTCCCTGTCCTTGCAGAGTGCTCAGGAGCTGTGGCAGTGGCTCTGGGCGCTGCGGCAGGCCAGCAGCGCCAACGAGGCCATGCTGCCCACTTGCCACCCGGGCGCCTTCCGTGCCGGCCGCTGGACCTGCTGCCTGCAGCCTGCCT